AAGTGATCGACAAGCTGCATATTTAATTAGTAAATCCATTTGACCCCCCTGATTCCGGAAATGACCAGTGACTGATATATAAGCTATTGTATACGCAATATAAATAGTTTGTGTAACCGATGATCATTTAAGAAATTCTGTTATGCTATTGTCGATCTGTTTACTTATCAAAAACTTCAAACCTAAATATCTCAAAATCACGTTTATTAGAGTTTCCTCCCTTTCTATTGCAAAGGCCCCAAATGTGAAAAATAGAATTTTACCGGTGAAAATTTGGTGGGTGATGCTAGACTCGTGCATTCGGATGTCCTTTTTCATTACGTCGGTAACAAACAAGTATTCCTTAATATTTTACAAACATGTCTTCACTCGAACACTACCCTGGTTACTTTGGTAAGTTCGTGGCTCAATTTGCGATCCGAATACTTTTTTTCCAAGCTTCTGACCTAGTCCCAGCTCTTGCATCTTACTTAAACGAGCACCCAAACTGGTCGTATTACGAATTTTTGACACTTCACCGTGACACAATTCTTTCTTCACCACCATTTTCGGAAGAGTGGAACGGCCTTGACGGCGCCTAGACTCTCAAATTCTTAAAAGAAGCAAAAGAGATCAATCCAGACGATTTTTCAACTTTAAAGAGGAAGGTAATATTTTCTTTTGTTTGCCAAGGGAGCTCTTGTTCAGTCCACGTTCTGACCCAAGTGATATTGATGGCATTCCTGGTCAGTCTACGTTCTGATCAGGGGAATCAGTCCACGTTCTGGGCCTTCACTATTGCGAAATTGCATTTTTTTCGCTTGAAGTTGTTATTTGTATAACTATTAAATTCTTTACTAAATTTCATAATTCCAAAATATGCTTCCCGCAACAGGTGGATTCTGAACGTTCGAATAAAGGATTGCAGGCCTATTGGTAGGAGGTGATTTATAAAAGAAAGAAGGTAAGTCAAGCCTTATATATCAATCATTCTTGCCAAGACGTTGCAATCTTGACTAACATGTAAAACAGTTGAGAGTCAAACGAACCCATGTTCTCGGAAGCCTAGGTATTTTAGATGAAGCCGGGAAATATAATGTTGGAGATCTCATTTCAGAAGGGCTTTCGGACTTTTTCCTTGTTGATGTATCATCCACATTCAAACGCACTTTAGATAGCACAATACTAACTTCTTCCGAGAGGATTAAGAAGGTTAGTACAAGAATACGACCCGTAGACAACACAAAAATGTCACTCACCTTTTCTTCTTTTGATGTGCACACAGATCAGAAACGTAGAGCCGGGTCAAGGAGAGGTGTGTATTTTTTAACTAGAAATTGAGGATCAATCGAACTAATTTTTGCATTTTAATGTTTTAGGATGATCATGATGAAAGTTATGAGATAGATAATTTCTTTAAAAGTCCTTCCGAAAAAAAATCATCCAATCTGTTTTTGCAAGAAAAGGACAACTCAGTCAAGAAACAGCAGAAATCAAGCAATGAACGGGGTTCCAACGAAGCGGATGACGAGAAAGACAAGGTACAGTTTCATATTGAAACAAATTGTTCGGATAACACGATGCTCTGACTATTCATAGCAATCAAAAGACTGAATAATTGCTAATGTGAAAATCTTTTCCAGGTCGAGTCTGAAGCACGCGACTCCATTTTTATATCCGAAGAAAATGATGATTCAGGATTTTTTTCTTTAGGTTCACAACCCGTATCCTTCTGTAATGCAAGTGATACCGAAGGTCTTGCAAATTTGAAGTTTACTACTACTAAAGTAAATCAAAATCAAGAACTACCTGGAAGAAACAAGGATGAAATCCAAAAAAACAATTACAGATGGTTCCGAAAATAAACCGTTTTTAGTATCCGAGGAAGAGGTATGATAATTTTCATTGAAAATATGTTTAAATATCAAAGTTCTACTTGCCTTAATGCTTTTTTTTTCTGCGAACAGTATGCATATTTACAAGAAATTTTAAACGAAGGTGTAAATTACAAACTCCCAATGAACGAAATCGGAGAAGACGTTTCTATACGTAAAAAAGTAAAATATCATAAGTGGAAAAAGCTACAAGAACGTAAAAGCTCATGTACATTTTTTTATATTTAGGCAAAAAAGATCACGAAGGGTACTTATAGCGTGGAGCATCCGCGATCAAGAAATAGCGAGAAGTCTTCCTTCGAGGTTCCCTCTGATGAGAATGCTAAGGATCCTGAAGACGACGAAGAAATTAAGTTTGATTTAGCAGATATTTCGATAGAGCTGGAAAAAGAACCAACATGCAAAGTATGACGAATCGATTTTTGTTCTTTTACTTTACGTATTTCACAATTTGCTTTTGTTTTTTTAGTGGGAAGTTGGCTGTATAAACGTAACCGATCGATTTCGGCAATATCAAAAAGAAGTGATCAAGAGGGCGGAGAGGGAGGGCTTGAAATATGATAAAATCTACGAGCTTTTGTAAGTTTTCTGAAGAATTTAGCCGAAGGCGCTATGCATATGCATGTAAATATAAAATTAGCTTAGCCGAGATATGACCCTATATAAATCCCCGACATGCTTATAATCGAATAAAAATGAATTTGGATTTAGTATATACATTTAAGTGTAGCTGATTCACATATTAACTATGATCTTCCTAGAATGCGTGGGAATGAGATTCCATCAGATTGGAAAGATCGAATTTGGGACACATTAATGGTATATAAAAAAAATCATCTTTTAACTGATTATAATAAGAGATATGGGGGGCGGTCAATAGAAAAGGGGGAAATCTACAAATTTTGAGTAATTTTAGTTATTAAGCTAGTATCGTTCACATGACCATGATCAGCAGAGTAAACAAATAAAAAAATTTTTGACTAAAAAGTGGATTTCCCCTTTTTCTACTGACCGCCCCCCATATCTTATTGCAAGAAAACAAACATATTTATTATATCAGTGTAATGTTTTGTTTGGAGTAAATATAGGAATATGCTATTCTTGTAATCAGCTTGTCTATTCCAAATTAGGAAGCGGGTATGAGTATTTCCATACATTCTTTATGGATAAGTATTAGCGTACAAATTGTACTGGAAATGAATATTGTGATATGAGCTTCGAAGATTACATGAAGCTGAAAATAATCCTCCACCTTGCTATTTCACAAAGAAGGCAATCCATTGATATAAAATGTGGTTGAAAAATGTATCAAATAGGATTAGACGTATCAGGCAAAAGCATAAGGTGCAAAGTAATGTAAACACTATGCCTAGCAAGCCTTACTATATTTATAACCAGCAAAAAAATATCTGTATGAACAATACTTCTTTAACTCCTTTTTCTGAAAAAGCCTGTCCAATATCAAAATTACTATTTCCAAAGGAAATCTTGGATGGATAAGCCACATTCATTGACCCTCCTCCTTTGCCACCAAAGCCTGTTGCATTAATGGACGGTCTTGAGAAATACCCTATGCGACATAATGCAAGTGTACCTGAAATTTTGGCCTATAGATTTGAAAGAAGCTGTGTTTTGATTGATGCTGAGGAATATTTTAATTCTGTTTAAAATAATGCAAATAGGAGATAAAGTTAATATCTCTTAACTGAATAATAACATTATTTATCTCAACTATATTTAGCCAAAGGTGTGATGCATAACTTATTTTTTTTTTGGTTATATAATCTGCATACATGATCACTTAGTATAATTGTGAATGTACTGTATCACCTGCAGGCCAAAGGCATTATGCATGATCTGCCTATTCTGGGTTAGATCCTCTAATATATAACTATTTTAGTAAAGTATTTCAGAAAGATCAATGAAGCAATCTTGGGAATTCTTGATTTCTAAATACTACTATCATTATAGCTTTAAAAATTTCTATGCAACAGTTATTTAGCGAGCTTACAGAAATTATGAGAAGAGAGCTGAATCTTCGGCAAAAAGAATTTAGGAGGTAGTAAGAAATGATGGTACTCCTGATAGAAAGAAATTTTTAGGTATACTTACGATTCCTCAAATGAAAATAAATCCTGAAACTTAAGAAGAGTATATTATAATTTGCGATGAGTTTTATACTCTATTTAGAAAAAGTTACTCAGAATATATTGGAATAATTAATCCAGCCAAAGTAATCTCACCATATGAGAAATATGTTTATTATTCTCCTAGTATATGAATAGAAATTAAGAAATATCAGTTAAGACGATTGGATAAGGTAATATACAGGCCTATTTTTGATTTCTCAGGAAGTTTTTTGTTTAAATTATATTGTATTATTAATTATCATTGTATAAGACAAAATTCAGTATAGTGCATATAGACATGTGTGACATAAATTAGCACGTTTTCGATTCTCATTAAAGTATATATGATGTAATAGGTGATACACTATAAATCATCTGTAACTTTATATGACTGCTTATGCGATAACCCTTAATTTATTGATCTGCGTGGTAAATTAGTTTCTTCATCCTAAAAAAAAAATTTATTTTATGAAGGAGGGGGCATTTACTGATATGTATTTTTTTGCTCCAGAGGGACAGGCTCTCTGACATCACCGATTCTGAGCAGAATATATTTATATAACATTGTTAGGTCTTAGTAATAAGTGGTTAGGTAAGCGAAAAAAATTCGTATATGCATTATCCTCAACACTATTCTAAAAGTTGATATCTTTAATGCACATTCTGCATGCTCTTATTCTCAAACACAAAATTTTAGTGTGAAGTGCCTCACACAGTTCTCCTATCTCTTTTTCCTAACATGAATGTAAGTTAGAGAGGACGTAAATAGAGAAGTCACCAGAGATTTAAAAGGGCAAGTGTATGAAATTCAAGTTATTTGTCACTTATTATTTTTTTAACGAAATTTTAACACTATATTTTTTGTCATTATGTCTTCTTCTACATTATATAAAAATATTTATAATTTTTTACTTGATTTACCCTTAGATAATATTACCACATTTTCTATTATTTTTCAACTAATAAAAGATGATGCGTGATATCCAAAAGATAAGTTAAGAGAAATAATTCATCAGACAATTATAGTAGTGAAAAAGAATTACAATCAGACTTTGAAAAAATATCTAAAATTCGTTGATATTCCCTTGAAAGTTAGTGATTATTACTATTATTTTTCAGATTTATAATCCCAAATGATGATTGCGCAAAATGATATTTTTATAACCAGATTAAGTGAGTACTCATAGTCATGTGAGTACAGGTTTAATCAGACACATTAATTCCTTAGACACACAGGGTGGATCTTAGTTATAGTTTATGAAGAAAAAATATAACATTTATGTACATTATCAATTATATGCAAACCACATATAGTTGATGATTTACTTGAAATATGTTGATGGATATGCGTACATGATTCTAATATCAAGAGATTAACTACATTAATACTAATATAAGACTTCTGCGCTAGTTTGATGATATATATAAAGATGTAAGTAGTTTTCAGAATATCAAAGAATCAAAATAGGAAGAACCGCTCACTAAGAATGAAATCTAGATGAATTTGCATGTGTTGAAAACTAATCTTAAAAACAGTAAGACTCTGTATACTCACTACTTCCATAAATATTTAAAGAAGAAAAGTGCTTCAGACTTATCATAACATGTTCCACTTGCTAATCAAGTGATTTGTGTAGATTCAGAAATGATGAGAACTTTGGAAGTAGATGCATATACCTTTTTTATGGTGAGTAATTTAGTAAATAGTGTTTGTATTGCCATAGCCTACTTTCAGCAAAGAGTATCATATTAATATTGTAATCCTATAAGATCCAGCAGAGCGTATAAAAATAATTGCTTCAGATCTTGTCAAAAATAATTATGATTCCTTCGTTTTGAATTTTATAGATAGTATTACAGATGTCCTAAATAATAGACTTTTACATGATAAAAGTTGGAAAGAATCTAATAAAAAACTAGCAAAAGTTACGTTAGGTATACTCAATATCTTGTAAGTATTTCAGTAATAAAAGTTTTAATAATCATATTTGCTATTTCTTAAAATTTCTGTTTGAAATTATGTTTAACATTATTCTTTATAGGAGAGATATTTGGAAAAATCCCACTTTCAGTCTAAAGCTAATTAAGTCATAAAGTGAAGAGACATATATGACTGATATAATAGTTCTGATGATTTGAGCATCATTAAAAGATCTTTCAATTGGAAAATCTGATTATATTTCCACAATCAAGTATCAAAGTATAGCTAGTAAAGATCGAAGAGAAGTTAGAAAACAACCAGATGTTATATTCATTACTAGTTGTAATAATAGGTCATATAAATTAATTTATGGTGAAAGTTCCTGTATCATTTGTGACAAATAAAAAAAGGAAAATGATAAAAAACTTAGAGAGAGATGAACAATGAAATGTATTAACTCACAAAGGATGCAAGCCTGACAAAGATGATTTTGGTATTATTAGAATCCAAATCACCAGAACTGAGATGCATCTAAATATCCTCATTCAAGATATAGATGAGATACATCGTTTCTATAATTTGCATACAGTTGAAATTCTGATACAGCTAACAGATAGGAATACTGTGTTTAAATTTATTGAAACTTTATTAATAATACAGGTATGTGAAATGCAATTCTTATATTTTACTTGCTTAAAATTAACACATACTTATAATTATAAAATATCTTGCAAGTCAATATATCTCTTCTGTATTATACATTTCTAACTAGTTCAAGTAGTAATATAAAAATAGCTTCACAGTATCTTCTTCACCAAGATCATCATTATCACCAAAAATGAAAAGTACCCTAGTGGCTGATTATTTTTAATATTCTTTGTATTTTTTCACTTATAGACTGTGAGAGAAAATCATGTGATTTTTACTTTTGAATATATAAAGCATAAATAATATTATATTACGTAAGCATGCAATCTGAAATAGATGATTCCAGCGAGACCAATTTATTAAAATAACGCATTAGCAATCTTGAGGCTGAAAACAATAAAATTAAGGCTGAAAATATTGAACTTAAAGTCAGAGTTGCGAAATTGGAAAACAAGCAATTGCAAAATAAATTAATAAAAAACTTGTTATCTGTATTATGAAAAACATGATCATGTATTAATTTGGTGAAATTTCAGCTGAGGCATCCCTGCCAAAATGTTTTTTTCTTATTGACCAATAATCAGGTATCATGTGCATTTTTGATTAGAGTTTTTTAGCAGATCTCTTATGATATTAACGCGTAAACTTCTAAAAGCCTTTAATGCTATAATACTGATATAATAAAGCAATCTATTTTTGAAATTTCATGAAATTCCATTTTTTTGTGTAATGTATAAATATATAATAGCATTTAACCAGGCATATTCTGATTTGCTAGCAAAATTATCAGCTTTCTTAATAAATGAGACATGGATACGTCTTATATCATAGAAGCACAAATCATTATCTCAGAAAGAGACCAGCAAAATTAACCCAATTATAAAGTCATTTTAAAACATGAAGTTATTAGATATCAGAAGAGATTAATATGTCAGAGATGAACTTAAAGTTGGCCAAAGTGTCCAACATCATTATCATTTAAAAAAATACTATTTATATATATTACAGATAATGAAATCCAAACTAATAATACTACTTGACTATGATCATGAGGAAGAAAACAATCACTAGGTTATGAATGAGCTTAAAGTATTATCCCAACATCTACTTGATTATAATAAAAGAACTTTTGAGAAATTTATGCATGATATAGAAAAGAAATATAGAGAGCAGATTAATATAAACAAGAAAATGCAAAGTAAAATTGAGGATCTGAAGATGCAGATGCAGGAGGCAGAAAAAGAGCTGGTATCTATGAAATTGGATTCTACTCATTAGTTGGAACTCTTTTTTCCAAAATTTAATTCCAGCCAAGATATACTTTGTGTGAATATTCACAAGGTACAGTTATATCGAAAACAATGAATTTTTGCTTATATAATGCCTTATCAATAATCTTAATCACATTACGTTAGTTATTAATATATTGACGCACAATTCTGACTAGCTCGTCTGTAATGCAGGACCTGTTAAATAGGCAGATATATGTAAAAATTTTTCGTATTATCTTTGAGCAATCAAAGTAGCTCTAGGATATATATATCAAACTAATATTGTAGTTGCATCCTTAACAAAATAAGGGATGATCTTCTCCTGCACTTTTTTTGGATCAGCACATACATCTTCGAATATGAGTACTGTATCCTTATCTAGAGAAAACGAATTCACCTTAGGGATTTTATCAGGTTTCAAAGCTCAGAATGTAATATTTTCACGATAAGACTTTAGACTATTTGCAATTATCTGATATGCTGATTTGAGGTACATATATTTCAGCTTCTTAAGATTGTGATTGATGAGTAGCAAATCATCACACTTGATATAGCACATCTCTCCTTTCTGCTCATTAAATATTCGATAAAGCTTATTTCTGAACATGAGATTAAGAATCTCATTAATCTTTCCTAAATTAGTATAGCCACAAATTAGTAAAGTGAAAGGCCATTAGAGAACATTCGAATGTCTGTTAT